AATCAAATATGGACTTGTGATTTTGATTATTCCTATATTGGGCATGTAGTGAGTAATTTCTTTTATCTGAAAGGAAGTATCTGTGTTAATCAGAACACTGCCTAAAGAACAAAGAACGTTCAGACTCTCCTAATTCACAAGTTTCCCTGCTTTTGGAATATCTCGAGATATTCCAAAATATTTAAATAAGATTTTTGCTTTATATATTATGCAACTTCACTTACATTTAATTAAGTACATTAAGGCTTTCTGAATGTCACACATTGGAGCCACATACATGACTGACTGCCTAACAGATCAGTGGATTATTTAATACTGCATTAGCAAAATAAGTATAAAAAGATATTTGGATCTATCATGATTTAGAGGCATACCACGTCAGCAAACAAAACAAATTACAGGATACATCAAAATTAAAATCAAAAAAAGCTTCGAACACTTTAGGGGTCAACATCACTAATTCCCTTCACTGAACTGACATATTAATTTTATTTTTCTGATCCTCATTCTTTTAATGCAGTATTTCCAGTTTCTTCTGCAATTTTATGTAAAATCTGTTATTTCATTACTGAAAAGAGTGGTTCTGCATTTTATAAATAAAAAGTCAAGCCAACATGTACTTTGGCTAGTATATTATGATGGAATACATAAAAGTCTAACAACACTTCATGATCTCACATTTTCTATATAACATAATGCTTCCACTGTACATTAACTTCTACTGTCCTGCTTTTCTCCTTGACGCACAATCGTGGCTATCATGATGTAGTCAGTTGCATTGTACATAATGATAACATGAGGCCCTCTTTCTGACCTCCTGTCAAGTTCATAAACATGAAAAGAAATCAGTTTTCCTTCTGGGGTAAAAAAGGCAGTCACAATGCATTTAAGCCCTAAAAAGTCTAGTAACTCCGAAACAGAACAAAATATTGTTATCAATCACCATCATCATAATCCTGTCAGGTATTAGGCCGTACCTTTAGTGGTTTTACTAAACTTCTCTTCCTATAAGTCAAAAGAAAATTTGTTTCTCTATTCTGTTCTAACATAGCTTTATCTATATAATTTCAGCATATTCTGTCAGAAAAATGAAGGACTATTATGCAATTAAGGAAATTATAGTGATAAAGTCATGAGAATTAAGTAATATATTGGCTGGTACAAAGTCAACACTGATCTGATCAGAAAAACAGCCAAACCATAAATAAAAGCAATCAATTTTAACATGTTCTTTAAACAGTAACATTTATATGCTACTTGCTGAAGAAATGTTCCACCAGATATTTACCAACACTTCTCTTTATGTTTTAGATGCTGAAATAAAGAAACAGAAAGAAGTCTGTGTTTCAGTTCTATGCCATAGAAACAAAAAGTGATTAAAAATATTACAACTCTCTTATAATTTCTTTAGAGGAATTATTTACAATGCATTGGACTTTCATATGACCACTATCAGGTAATATACATATTTCAGATCTGTTTATTTAATGATAAAATTAATATTAATTATAATTCAGGTCCAAGTTGTTACCAATTTGAGCTTTGTACCTGGATACTGGGGATACTGGAAACGACCCGTTCTTCAAGTGCCTGAGCACTGC